CTACCTGTAGTGTGCCACTTACCATGCTGGTTCAAAGGGTTACAAAGATAGATAAAGGAGGATTTCTACCTTGAAATGCCACCTACCCGCCCAAAGGTCATAGTTTTCGCTTCAGCATCACTACACTCCGGACTATGTCATTGTTAGAACGTCTTCCTGAACTGATTTTGGAAACAGTGATTGAGGAATCTCCATCAGAAGTGGTTCATCAGTCTAAGAACCAGCACCTTGACTGTCTGCACCCCTCTCTTCCACGACCTCACTACCACCTGCTTGGCGCAGGTGATCTTTGATGATGGGTGTTTCCCATCAGTCTCAGGAACATGATGATGTCAGTAATGATATTTTTGGAGCCTTCTCTCATGTGCGAGTACCCATCATTCCAAAGCCAAGCGTCTATTCCATTGCCCAGTTGTGTCCTCCTGGCCAGTTCTTTAAACTCACATATAACAGTTACATAATATCTTATATATTATATAATAACATCATATTTTAGTGAATGTGTTTTCTTTCCCAGTTGATTTTTTTAATTAACTGTATAACATCTCATTTCTACAATCTGGAGATAAATGCTTGTGATTAGAATTTTCAGTATTGTACCAAACTAAAGAAAAGATTTGTTTTGGGAATATCAGGTATTTACTACCTTTTAAGCCACAAAAAATTGCTCAGCCCTGTGCCTCTCAGCAGCAGGAGCATGAAAGAGTCCAAGCACTTCTGTTCCGTCCACGATGACATTGTCTGAAAGGATTCTAAATTAGAGAGTTCCGAGTCAACATTAGCATTGGTTGAATAGATGAAAAACACTGGTAGAAGGGACAGTATGTCCTTTCGAGGATAAGCACAGTACATTAGAATGGAGAGATGAGCAGTTGTGATACCCTCTAAGATAAGACAGAAAAAGAAAATGTCTCCATAAATAAATGGGAAGGAAATGAGAACAGCGAGGCCCTTACATTTCACAAAACAAAGTGAGGCACTGAACTGATCAAGTGAGCAGATGCTTTAATACCACAAGAGCCCGTAAGAGCAGCTAGGACAGTGGGGATGAGGCGGATGATTTACCTTTTAAGCAAGACAGACAGACACTGGCCTCCTGACCACTTTGATTTTCAACATATTCAGTATTTATTATAGAAAATCTGAAGCATTCAGATCATAAAAATTCTTAAGGCAGCAAACAATCATTGTTAAGAGGGAGAAGTCAGATTCAACTTATAGATGAAAATCTATGAATAAACAAACACAAAGCTGTAGTTCTAGATGAGGCTGTGCCCCACAAAGACATTCTTACATCAAATATAATGATGCTTATGATATTTAGCATTAAAGAAATAAAAATCACATTTAGAGTATACTTAAAGAATTTTAAACAATCTTTCCATTAGTTTGGGATGGAAAATGGGAAAGGTGACAGTTCTTTTTAATAGTAACAAATTCATGCACTATCATATAACTTAGAATACGGTTTTAAATACCTAAGGTTGTTTTTTTATTGTCCCTGCTCCCATTCTTCAAGACAAGATAAAACACAGTTTAGGAAAGGTCTCTGTAAAAGATGTAAAATGTACAATCAATTTGTAAGACAGAATAATAAGAGTACAAACAACCCAACTCAAAAGTGGACCAGAGATCCAAATGGTCTCCTCGTGGAAGAGACCTTACAGATGGCAAGTGGGCGCATGCACGGAAACTCCCTATCATCTGCCATTAGAGACTTGCTAATTGAAACCAAAGCTACACAACAGCCATTGGAATGACCAAGATCCAAAACACTGACAGCAACAAATGCTCCCAAGAGAAGGAAGCATCAGGGTGTGTGTTGATTGCTGGTAGAAATGCACAGCCTCTCACTGCGCTAAACATATGCTTTTTCAGCCCAGTCATCTTGTTCCTTGTTCTTTGTCCAAATGAAATGAAATGCCATGATCACACAAAATCCTGCACATAGAGATTTAAATTAACTTTATTTGTAATTGTGAATAGATGCATACAATGTGGTACATCCAAGCAGTGAAGCATCATTTAGACTGAAACAGAAGCAAGTCTTCAAGACATGAAAATATAGGAAAAAACTTAAATGCTTGTCCCTGAGTGAAGTAGGGCAATCTGAAAAGGGCGTGCACTCTGTGATTCTAACGTGACAATTCAGAAACTGCAAAACTCTGGGTCTGCTAAAATTACCAGTGGGTCTAGCATGGAGGGAAGATTTTTAGGGCAGTAAAAAGTAAGTGATCCAGCAGTGATGGAAACGTGTCACACGTTTCTGTCAAAATGTATAATGTTCACTAATGCGCAGAATTATCTATGGTGGCGAGTCAATGTCGATCAATTGATTGTAATAAACATCTTACCATAGTGGCGGGTATTGATAGCTGGGGAGGCCATGCATGTGTGGGGGCGAGCAGGATACAGGAAAAGCTTGTTCCCTCTTCTCAGTTTTGCTAACCACAAATTGCTCTAAAATAGCAATTATTTCCCTTTAAAAAGGGATGATTCATAACCACAGGATACAATGTGTGATTCTATCGATGAATACACAAGACAGCCAGTGGTGATGCAAATGAGGATTTGGTTTCTGCTGAGAGAACAGACTGGAAGAGGCTGTGAGCTGCTCTTCTGGGGATATTGGCAATGTCCATTTCTTTATTTGATTGATAATAAGCACCTTGTGAATATTGATAGGGGCTTATGCTTTTGGCATCATCTTTGAATCTATAATGTATCTCAATCTTTTAATATAAAGCCTGTGTAAGTTAATGGAAAAAAACCTACCTATGCCTTTAAATTTAATTTCCTGGGAATCACTTGTTTTCTTGAGGTTGGGGGAGAAGCAAGTTACCTCTCTAAAATTTTCTTCCAATAATTTATAAAGAATTAATAAAACATAGGTGGGTCAGTTAGAACTTAGCTAAGAAAAGAAAAATTAAGTATTTAAAACAGAATTCAATCTACAGAAATGGTTCCACAAAGGCTGGAAGAATTGGAAACTAAGCTGGTGCCCTAGATCCCTTTCTATTGCTGTGGGAGACACTATGAGCAAGGCAACTTATTAAAGCAAGTCTCTACCAGGGGGACTCATGGTTCCAGAGGGTTAGAGTCTGTGATCACCATGGTAGGGAGCATGGCAGCAGGCAAGCAACAGTGTTGCTGGACAACAGCTGAGAGCTTACACGTTGAGATGACAAGAAAGCAACTGGGAAGGTGTGGGATTTTGGAATCTCAAGAGCTGCTTCAAGTGACAGTGACACACCTCCTCCAACAAGCCACACCTCCTAATCCTTCCCAAGCAGTTCCATGGACTAGGGGCCAAACATTCAAATGCATGAGCTTATGGAGGCCATTCTCATTCAAACCACCACAGCTGGGGATTGTGAAGAAACTTCAAGGTATTTAAGTAGTCCTAAGAAGCCACAGGCACTGACAGACATTCAGAGTTTTTAAGGACAAAGGAAGAGGTGGTGTCACTGGAAGTCTGGGTTAAAAGTCAGAGGGGAAGCTAGAGGCAATGACTGGAACAAAATATAGCCCAACAGGGATCGGTCCCCAATGTAGCTAGAGCTGGGCAAAACCAGTAATGGACCTGAAGATAAAGACATCACAGACAAGAGCTCAGAAACACAGTTCTCATTTTCCTTTTCTTTTCTAGAGTAATGGCTACATGAGCCAAATTGATTTACTAAGACTTTTGAAATGTACTCAGTTTAGCTCTTGGGAATTACAGCAAACAAATCTCTTGAAAATAAAGGAAATCATTACTTTAGTTCTACATTTAATCTCAGTAAAGAGAATTTATGCACACTTAAGATTATGAGAGAATCTCTTGTTTTCCTTTTGAACTTAATCAAAATAATAAAGGGTATCTTGGTGTTCTGAAAGCAGTCATTTACCCATACACATGATTTTGATCCTTTATTTCATTTACTTAAAGTGGATGATGAATCTAAATCTGAATTTTAATGAAAGTTGTTCTCAAACATGCAATAATGTCACGTTGACTTGTATTATATCTTCACTGCTTTAAAATGATGCAACAGTTTTCACTTGCATCATTTTTAATGTGGAAAGGAAGCACGAGCTCCTTTTGGATTAAACTTAACCACGGTAGGTGCTCTGGCAGCTGCGTTATTTAGTTAAGAACTGAACATGACTCCATTCTGACGTTCTGGGCATGGCCATTCTTTAACGAAGATAATAAAAGAAATAAGACTACGTTGAAAGCTGCTCTTAGGATGAAGTGGGGATTCTCAATATGACTGCCACTCAACTTCTTCCTTTTCCTCATTCTGCCGAAGGGTAACAACAGGCAATTTCAGGAAAATTCTATATAACTAATTTGCAATCTTTGTCTTTTGTACCATTGAAGGGTAAGTACATTTGATAATTCAACATTGATTTGTTTATTTATATTATAGCCAGGCCAAACAAAGCTCAGTGTGTGTGTGTGTGTGTGTGTGTGTGTGTCTGTGTCTGTGTCTGTGTGTGCATGTGCTGTGTATGTTTCATTGTACATCACATTGTAAGATTTAGTGTACCTGACCTTTATTGTTTCTCATTTTTAATTTAGAGAAAATAAAGTCCCCGAACAAGAAGCTTTAGGAATTAGTTATTGACATGCTAGGAAGCCAACATCACCACCATCAATCTTCCTTTTGGTTTATATCATTAGAGCCCGGTTATCTGCTACCTCATCTGGACTTACTACTCTGATATTAAATATATTTCTATATTTAAAAACATTAGGCAATTTTTGGAATAGAATAAAGGATTGTGGATTATTCCTCCAACATAAACCATCTCTCATATAACGGTTCTGATAGTTTCTGTTGTTAGAAAGCAGAAGTGAATTAATGAAGTCTTTAACTGGGAAGTCACTGAAAGTACAGAACTGAACAAAAAACGTTGATACCATTTAACCCCAGTTTTTATGCAAGGAAGAAAAGCACGTTTTCAGAGTTTAGATTAATGTCCGTCTTGAAATGTTTGTCTTAAGCACTCACCTAAAATTCAATGAAGAAACAGCATGGACTTCCCAGAACCATCTATTTTGTTTTCTTTGAAATAGCAGTTGATTGTGGCATTTGAAGACTTCTCAAGTGCTCCCCAGGGCTTATAAATCCTGTTTATCTGTAATAAAAAAAAAAAAAAACCTGCTTTGAGCCATTTACACAAACCTGTTTATTATAGAAACAGGGGCCTGAGTTGGAAGTTCTAGAATATATGGCCTTCTACAAATCCTCCTACACTATTAACAACTTGGAATACCATACGCAGAAACTCAGCTTTCATTAACCAAGACAAATGCACTTTTATTCCAGAAGTTCTTTGACAGATGAGGATGGCCAGGCCTGGAGGCATGAAGTCACCATGCAGGATGGAGCAGCTGGTTAGCAACGTCTAGGAGTTCTTAATATAGCCCTTTATTTTCAGTTGATTAAGAATGAGAAATGAGAGAACATGGATTCTTCTGTTTTCTGAATAGGCAATTTTCTAGAATATTGCACCATCATAATTTCTACTAAAGCCAAGGAAATTACTGCAGAGGTCAGATGCCTCAGAACAACATGTTCTCTGAGAGAGTAAACTTGAGCAGTTTTAAATAGATATCCCACAGGAGCTGACGATTGCAAAGGCAGCCTAAAGTTATTTAATAGTCCATATGGTGATTCTGATATGGAATAATCACATATAAATAGTAAACAGTTCACGTCTCTTAAAAGTGAATGTTTTTCAAAGATGTTGCCTGCTGAGAGAACTTATAATTGACAGGGGCACTCGGTGTTGAAGGTTCCCTGACCCTTGCGGTGACAGTGACCCAGGTACATTACATGCGTCTCCATCAATATCTTTCCCAACACTCTTTTCCACTTCATCTCCTGTATAGCTCTCTTCTCCCTGTCTGTGACTTGCATTGTTATTCCGGGGGCTGATGACTGGAGCAGCAGAAATCTGAAGCTCTGCCATTTATGTACTGACATAAAGCGGGGAAGTGAGGAGAAGGGCAGAAGGTGTCTCCTGAGAGTGGAGATGGGACTGGATGGGAAGAAAGGACCCCAGAGGATGCTGGGTGCCCTCTGCCCCCAGTGCCAGCCCTGTACTTTTTCTCTTCAACTTTCTTTCCCATGGGCTGTCTAAAAGGACCACCATAGTGATTTGAGCCTTAGGCCTGGCTTCAGATGTCTTTTGATTTTGGATCCACATTGAAAACTGTCTAACCATAATCCTTCTTTCCTCTAATCTGAACACTCAACTTCACTTATTATTTCTTAAGATTTATTAGTAGAAGATAACTCCTCATAGTGCAATTAACCCTGTGTCCATTAGAGTCCACCATCTCCACCTTGTATTACGTTCTAGGTACACACAATCTGGCATTAAATGTACTATTGTGGTTGAATTATTTTGCTACTTTATTGTTTTTTTAAAGTACATGTCATAACTATTCTTTTGAAAATTGGTGTTCTGATAGACTAATAATTCCCCTGTATTTGGAAATTAGCTACATATTAAAATATCATCCCCAATCTCATTAGTATTGTTCCAAACCACAGGATGAGGAAGTAAATGGGAACTTATAACACAATCTTGTATTTTCTATGTAATCACATATTTCACATATATGCATATACAGATAAGTTTATCCAGCTGTGACTGGTGACTTCTTAGGTCCTGTGTCCGACTGTTTCTCCCTTCCCTGTCAGTCTCTGAGCACTTTGCAGCTTACCTTGGTAAGACTCATAGCTTTAATAAAAATTCTATCTTGGTGATATACTGACGATGGTGGGGTGGCTGTAGTGTCTTCTCTTTCACCAAGAAGCGGCCCTGCCTCAGCCTGTACCTCAGGGGCAGTGATTAAACACCACCGACGAACACAGAGGTAGATCCATCTCTGCTATGACTGACTTCTGGGCCCTGTGGCATGCCCAGCGTGTCCAGGACTGAATGCAGACAATTCTTTTTACCCTTGAACCTGAGAGTGGCTGCCTCCCAAATGACTGTGAATTAAAGTCATCAATCCTCTTCTCTGGTATGCTGCAGCTTACAGGACATTGAAAAGAAACATTCCTACATGAACGGTAGGTGGAAACAGAAAAGGATAACTTCCTCTCTTTTTATTTTTATTTAAATTATAGGTCCGCTAACTTAAATTCTAGGTTACCTAACTCAGAAACTCAGAATTTCTAGTGTAAGTAAAGTTAAAATTTAGTGTTTGGACATCAGATAAAAATACTATCTCTTGGGCTGGAGAGATGGGGCCAAAGTTGAGAGCATTTACTGGTCATGTTAATGTCCTGAGTTTCATT